TTCCCCCCCCCCCCCAATCTCTCATCCTACTCTACCTTGTGTTGCCAGCCTCCAGACAGAATTCCTGGCTCTTGCGGAACGCCAGTGCGGTGGTTAGAGCGCGGGACTAATATCTGGGAGACCCAGGCTCGAATCCCCATGTCTGCCATGGAAGATGGCTCCCCGGGGGGAGGTGGTCTCCTTTTTTTTTGGGGCCTGGGGGGGGGGGGGCAACAGTGGGAAGGCTTCTAGTGTCCTGGCCCCACTGATGGACTTCTTGATGGCACCTGGTATTTTTGGCCACTGTGTGATACAGAGTGTTGGACTAGATGGGCCATTGGCCTGATCCAACATTGGCTTCTCTTATGTTCTTATCAGTAGGCTGAGGGTCAGACTAAGCCTTGAAGACCCAGGTTTGAATCTCTGCTTGGCCACGATGGTCACCTGGTGGCCTTAAGCAGGCTTCTCCCCCCCATCTCTCATCCTACTCTACCTTGGGTTGCCAGCCTCCAGACAGGACCTGGAGAATTCCTGGCTCTTGCGGAACACCAGTGCGGTGTTGTGGTTAGAGCGCAGGACTAATATCTGGGAGACCCAGGCTCGAATCCCCATGTCTGCCATGGAAGATGGCTGGGGGACTTTGGGCCAGTCACACTCTCTCAGCCTGACCTCCCTCGCAGGGGTGTTGTGGGGACAAAAATGGCGGCGAGGAGAGCAACAAAGGCCACTTGAGGTCCCCATGGTGAGAATGAGGGTGTACAAAAGAAGTAAATAAATAAAAGTTCTGGGCTTACAACCAGGGCCATTTTTGGGCAGGAACGCACAGGAACGGAGTTCCGGCTGGCTTCAGAGCTGGCCACACCCAGTACAGCCAAAACCTCTGTGTGCGTGGCTACAGAGGGAAGGCCTGGATAGCAACCCCCCCAGTGACTCTGAGGTGGGGGCCTGGAAGGATTTCCCTGGCCTGTCCAAGGGCTGGCTAGCCCGGGCTCCCCGCAGCCGTGGGGTGCCCGGGCAAGCCAAGGGAAGGCATGGGGTGTGTGGCCTAATATGTTAATGTCTGCTGTTGGGTGTGTCCTATTATGCTAATGAGTTCCTGATGGGCTTTTTCTACAAAAAAAGCCCTGCTTACAACTGATCTCCAGATGACAGGAAATGGCTGCTTTGCAGGGTGGGTTCTGGGGCATTATACCTTGCTGAGGTCCCTCCCCTCTCAGTTCCTACCCCGTCAGGCTCCACCCCCAAATTCTCCAGGAATTTCCCAACCCAGAGCTGGCAACCATAAGACTGCCTCACAGAGGAGGCCAACAAAGTGAAGGAAGGACCTAGGGTTGCCAAGTCCATCTTCCACCCCCAGCGGGGGACTTTGGGGGCGTTCCTGGAGGGGGTGGGGCATCCCAACGTGATGACGTCACGTTGGGGACGTCCGCCCCCCGCCCGCGTGCCAGATCTCCAGAAACGGCAGTTCCCTGCACTTAAAGGAGCCGGCGTTTCCCCTTTAAGAGCAGCCGCGTTTCCCTTTTAAGTCCACGAAGCTGGCATTTCCCTGCAAGCCTGATCTCAAGCGGAGATCGGGCTTGGGAGGAAACACGGGTTCCACACATTTAAAGGGAGAGAGAGGGGTGGCTGTGGGTGTTCGGGGTGGGGCTTCCCCCACTGGCCATCTGGCCGGCGGCGGGTAGAACCCCCCCCAAAATGGGGGACCCCTGGCAAACCAGGGGTTTTGGCAACCCTAGAAGAACCATCTACGAAATGTGCAGATGACGTCTAATTTGGCTGTTAAGCAGATATCGGTTTTGCTTAAATGTCCCACATTGAGCTTACTTTACTCCCGGGGCACCAATAAATGCTGTCAAAAGGGCAACTGACCTTTAGGATGTAGTTCCCTGGCTGCACGTCTGTGATATCGATCCACTGGCAGTCGATGTCCGCGTTATACGTGTCGTAGCAACCGGGGCTCAGACCCTGAACATAAAGGAAACACATTGCTTGGAGACTGGTCAGAGGTGCGTGCAGGAGATCCGTGGCCTCTCTGTTTCCAAGGATGTTGGGTAGCAGGGATGAGAAGGATCTAGGGTTACCAACCTCCAGATGAGGCCTGGAGATCCCCTAGAATTACATCTGATCTCCGGACAGCAGGGATAAGTTCCTCTGGAGGACATGGCAGCTTTGAAGGGTGGAGTCTATAGCATCCCTCCCCTCCCCAAATCCCACCCTCTCCAGTCTCAACCCCCAAATCTCCAGAAATTCCCGAAGCAGGAGTAAGTAAAGGTAAAGGTAAAGGTTCCCTTGCTCGAAAGCCAGTCAAATCAGACTCTAGGGTTGCGGTGCTCATCTCCGTTTCCAAGCCAAAGAGCCAGCGCTGTCCGAAAACGTTTCCGTGGTCCTGTGGCTGGCATAACTAAACACCGAGGCACACGGAACGCTATTACCTTCCCACCGAAGTGGTACCTATTTATCTACTTGCAATTTCTTGCTTTCGAACTGCTAGGTTGGCAGGAGCTGGAACTAGAGATGGGAGCTCACTCCGTCATGCGGCACCCGGGTCTCGAACTGCTGAAGTACTGACCTTCCACAGCCTGCAGTTCAGCGTCTTAACCACTTGAGCCACCGCAGCTCCTTCTGAAGCAGGAGTACACAGCCCTTTTTTGACATGCTGGTTGGGAGTGATCCTAATGGAATTGGGGAAGTGACACCACAGTTGGAGGCATTGCCCTCTTTCCCTTCTGCTGTTTTCCTGACCTCAATTGCCTTCTTCCTCAAATTCCTATTTGGGGAAGAGGAAATACAGGGGCTGGCATGGAATGGAAGGATTGCCTTCTTCCATAATGTCTGGCCTGCTGGTTAAGATCTTCATCTCAAGGGGTGCTCTGTATTGCCTCCACCACAGAGCTGAGATTATCAGTCCCCAGAAAAGGGGCATTTCTGGTGGTGGCTCCCCACCTGTACTATTACATCACTATTGGCCCCTGGCTGAATTGAAATTTCTAACCAAGTGAGAAAGGTACACAACTGAACCATTACCATAGGAAAGGGTACCTGACCATGGCAGCAAACTATTAAAAATGAGGCCTCTGATTAATATCTTTGCCTTTGGCCACAGAAAATAATCATTAAAAAAACTTCATGTTGGTCAATTTATAAGACATGATTGTTGTAATGTCAGGAGCCATTCTGGAACATCATTTGTTTGACCGCCGAGGAAGGCCCATGGGCCGAAACGCGTCTGGTTAGGGTCAATAATGGTCGTTTTTGCTTGTCATTGTACAATTTGATTCTTAATCGAGGCTATTGCCAGGGCCAGTATTTATTTTATTTATTTATGTTTGTTATTAGACCTATATCCCGCCTTCCTCACATGTCAGGCTCAGGGCGGGTTCCAAACATACAGATCTGCAAATAATGCAGATTTACAAGCAAATACATATCCATCAATACAGCAACCATTACACTCACTAAAATCACTAAAACACTAAACATTCAATGTGCCTCAGCAGATGATGTTAATTCTGGCAATGTTGTCGTTCCAGTTGGCTTCTAGGATCTGCGGTCACTGCGGGGAGGGGGCAGATCCGTTTTTAAATCTACTTGCGTATTCTTGTACATCTGTTAATACTGAATGTTTTCAATTTGGACTAACTGAATCATCGGGCCTGCACATCCATATCTTCTTAACCTTTAGGTTCTTAATTCAGGATCCTCTTACCCCTGGAAGTTTTCCTGGTGCCAAGGGAAGAGAGTTCTGTTGGCTTTGAGTCAAGGCCTTAGATTAGTCAGTCGTCCCCCCCCCCATCTTTCCTGACTGCTCTCACCTGCGTGTGTGACGTGCAGGCGTAGCGCTTGAGGTTTCCGAAGTCGCAGGTGGTGTCCTCCAGGCAGAAGCTGGCCTTGTGGCCTTCCGCCACCTTCTTGCCGGTGGCCGCATCCAGCAGGTCGTAGTGGCTGAACTCATCCATGCTGTGGTAATGCCTGAGGGAGAGAGACCAGGGCATGAGGAACGCAGGATACACTGAAGCTTCTGCCACGCAAAGAAGATTGGGTTCCACGTTGCTGCTAGCCATAAAAGCAAGGGGCCATGCAGTGGTCCTAAGCAAGGTATTACCTGGTATTACTTTTGTAGTTTTACTTTGGGGCCTACGCAGCTATCAACAGCTTGTCCCCAAGGTCGCTCAACAAGTGTTTGTGGCGGAAGAGAGATCTGAACCCAGGTCTCTTAGGTCCTTGTCTGACATTCTAACCATTATGCTAGGGGTCCCCAGACCTTTTGAGCCTGTGGGCACCTTTGGAATTCTCAGACGGTGTGGTGGACGCAGCCACAAAATGGCTGCCACAAAATGGCTGCCACAGCCTTCCTTCCGTCACACAGTGAAGATCCTTGTGCTGTTATGGCGGCTCCTACCCAAAGAAAGGTTTTAAGAAGAAGAAGAGATTGGATTTATACCCCGCCCTTGACTACCCAAAGGAGTCTCAGAGCGGCTTACAAAAGGTGTTAGCAGATTCCATGGTGCCCACGGGCACAACGTTGGGGGCCCCTGCACTATGCCACGCTAGCTGACCATTTGCTCCTTCCCCAGCCGCCCGCAACCCCTGCGATGCAGAGATTTCTCACTCACTGATGGCAGCTGTGCCACTCCCAGGTATGCCGAGCCCGGTTGGGCAGGAAGTCCGCCGTGCCCTGGTTCTTCACGCGCTGGGGGAAGCGTAGCAGCACTCGGACGTCGTAGTCTGTTGCTTCGGGGGTATAGGCCGTGCTGGAAGAAGGCAAGAGCAGGCGTGACAAGAATGGGTGGTGGAGGGCGATTGTGGAAATGCACCGGACCCTGAGTGCGAATGCTTCTATATATCATAAGCTTTGTAAAAAGGATTGCAATCAGGGCGCTTCTTTTGGGAAAAAGGGGTGCCGAAAACTCTCAAGAGGGAAATGGAGTTTTCAACCTGCAGACTGGAAACTCGTGAACTTTTAAACTTTATAACAAGAATTTTGTTGGAGAGGTTCCGGCGCGCTCCCCCAGAAAACAAGCCCGGATTACAATATTTTCCTAAAAAATTTAATTACCTTAAGCGGAAAGAGTTTAAAAAAGAAAATATAACCACAAACGGTGGCAAGTGTACAGATAAGCCTCTAGAAGAGGTTTCCAAGTTTGTTTGTTTTTTTAAAAAATACGTCCACGCACAATTGTTGTCTGTTTGCTATACGAAGAGTTGCCAACTCTGGGTGGGAAATACCTGGGGATTTGGTAGGCTTACCAAGTCCCCTCGGGGGGCGGGGAAACCTCCGCCCCAGAGGCCTGTTCCCTGCTGCCGCCGGATCGGGCCCCGGGGGGAACTCCACCCTGACGTGCACGTCACCAGGAAGTGACGCGACCATGCGGGGCACGCTGGGGGCGGGGCCACGGTCATCCGAGGGAGTCCCCCGCTCCGAGCCAAGGTAGGACTTGGCAACCCTTTGGGGGGTGGACCCTGGGGATGGAGAGCCGAGACCTCAGCGGGTTCTAGTACCAGAGAGCCCGCCTTCCAAAGCAGCCATTTTCTCCCGGGCAACTGATCTCTGTCACCTGGATATCGGTTCTTATTCCAGGAGATCTCCAGGCCCCACCTGGAGGCTGGCAACATGATGCTGGTGAGGCTGAGTCCTCAATCCATTGAATTATTGGAGGTGGGCATTTATCTGTTTGCTGTTGTAATATAAGTCTTTAAGCAACAGTCAGGGCACGAAGGGTCAACATGAGAACATAAGAGAAGCCAATGTTGGATCAGGCCAGTGGCCCATCAAGTCCAACACTCCATGTCACACAGTGGCCAAAGATACCAGGTGCCATCAGGAGGTCCAGCACCGCCCCCCGCTCCCAAGCACCAAGAATACCGTGCATCACTTGCCCTAGACCGAGAGTCTCTGTCTATACCTTGTGGCTAATAGCCACTGATGGACCCCTGCTCCATATGTTTATCCAATTCCCTCTTGAAGCCGTCCATGCTTGTAGCCGCCGCCACCTCCTGTGGTGGTGAATCCCATGTGTTTAATCACTCTTTGGGTGAAGAAGTACTTCCTTTTATCCGTTCTAACCCAACTGCTCAGCAGTTTCATGGAGTGCCCACAAGTTCTTGTATTATGAGAAAAGGAGAAAAGTACGTCTTTCTCCACCTGCTCTGTCCCATGCATAATCTTGTAAACCTCGATCATGTCCCCCCTCAGTCATCGTTTCTCCAAGCCAAAGAGCCCCAAGCGCTTTGACCTTTCTTCATAGGGAAAATGTTCCAACCCTTTGATCATTCTAGTTGCCCTTTTCTGCACTTTTTCCAGTGCTATAATATCCTTTTTGAAGTGTGGTGACCTGAACTGTACACAGTACTCCAAATGAGGTTGCATCATCGATTTATACAGGAGCATTAATACTGGCTCCATTTTTGTTGACCATCACTTACTCTCCAGAAGACAGGCAGATAGTTTAAAAGTACATCAGCATCCCCGAAGACCCATGAATATTCTAATGCAAAACTGTAATCAGAGCTTTTTTTGTAGAAAAAGCCCAGCAGGAACTCATTAGCATAATAGGCCACACCCAACAGCAGGAACTCATTAGCATATTAGGCCACGCCCTGACAGCGCAACTCATTGGCCTATTAGGCCACACCTCCATGTTACCAGAAGTGTGCTCATCCAGCCACACCCACCTTTTGCTTCTTATTCTGTTTACCTTGTTTGTTGTCAAAACCCAGGGCCTTTTTTGTAGCTGGAACTCCTTTGCATGTTAGGCCACACACCCCTAATTGTAGCCAATCCGAATGAGTTTCTGCTGTTGGGTGTGGCCTATTATGCTAATGAGATCCTGCTGGGCGTGGCCAACTCAGGAGCCAGCCGGAACTCCGTTCCTGTGCGTTCCTGCCCCAAAATAGCCCTGTGTATAATTACTTTCCTCTCTATGGGGTTGCCAGCTCTGAGTTGGGAAATACTTGGAGATTTGGGGGGGGGGGGGGGGGGCCGTGGGGGGGTGGAGCCTGTGGAGGGCTCTCCGTGGGGTGCAATGCCATGGAGTCCACCCTCCAAAGCAGCCTTTTCCTCCAGGGGAACAGATCTCCGTCGTCTAGGGATCAGTCATAATCAATGCTTCCTCTCAGCTGTGGAGTCTTGTGAGCGAAAATTCTACATTGTGAGCTACTGGCGTGAAAGTTGTGAGAGAGGGATCTGGCTACCACATAAATTAGTTTGCTCTGGGGCCCTCCCTTCCTGAGCTGAGACAAAAAGGTGTGAGCCGGAGGCTAAAAAACTGTGAGCTGGCTCACAGTAACTCGGCTTAGAGGGGACACTGGTCACAATACCTTCAGATCTCCAACTCCCACCTGGAGACTGGTAACCCTATAACTGGACCGGCCCCGAGCACATGTTTAAGAGATGCGTCTTGTGAAGTTACCAGTGCCGGCAATTAGACACTTTAGTTATTCCTCTTCTAAAAAGGCACTGGGGTGAGAATACTGATAGCTTAGTAGTTTCATTCTGTGCCCTGGAAGTCGTCAGCAGCTGGTCCCTACAAATTATCCCCCTGTTTGAGGCTTTGGTGGCTGGATCTCACCCTCCCCCCCCCCTTCTCTTTTCCTGTTGCTTTAGCTCTTTGGGCCTTCTAGGGTTTTGAAACAAAATAATTTGTGGGAAACTGAGCTCCTGTTTGGAAAATACTGGCTGCTTGCCCTGAGTTGTTTTCTAGTGGATGGAGTTGTATTTATTTTGCTTTCCCTGCCCACTGAGGCAGAAAGGCCTCCTAGCTAAAGTTGCCAAGTGCCTCCCCCCAAAAAACCCCAGTCTGATTCCTCCATTTCCTGCATTATTATAATCCATCACTCCCTTTAAGAACATCAGAAGAATTATGGATCAGACCAGTGGTCCATCTAGTCCAGCCTCCTCTCTCACACAGGGGCCAACCAGTTCCTCTGGAGGGCCAACAACAGGGCAGAGAGGCTGAGGCCTTCATAAGAACACGAGAAGAACCCTGCTGGATCAGACCAGTGGTCCTTCTGTTCCAGCATCCTGTCTCACACAGCAGCCAACCAGTTCCTCTGGAGGGCCAACAACAGGGCAGAGAGGCTGAGGCCTTCATAAGAACACGAGAAGAACCCTGCTGGATCAGACCAGTGGTCCTTCTGTTCCAGCATCCTGTCTCACACAGCAGCCAACCAGTTCCTCTGGAGGGCCAACAACAGGGCAGAGAGGCTGAGGCCTTCATAAGAACACGAGAAGAACCCTGCTGGATCAGACCAGTGGTCCTTCTGTTCCAGCATCCTGTCTCACACAGCAGCCAACCAGTTCCTCTGGAGGGCCAACAACAGGGCAGAGAGGCTGAGGCCTTCATAAGAACACGAGAAGAACCCTGCTGGATCAGACCAGTGGTCCTTCTGTTTCAGCATCCTATCTTATCTCACACAGTGTCCAACTAGTTCCTCTGAAGGGCCAGCAAAAGGGCATAGAGGCCAAGGCCTTCCTAAGAACATAAGATAGGGTTGCCAAGTGTAAATTCCTCCGGAGCGGGGGACTCCCGTCCGGCGTCTACAGTTTCCCCTCAGATGACCGTGGCCCCGCCCCCAGCGTGCCCGGCGTGGTCACAACATTTCCGAGTGACGCGCACATCGGGGTGGGGTTCCCCCTGGGGCCCGATCCGCTGGCGGCGGGGAACGGGCCTCTGGGGCGGGGTTTTCCCCGCCCCCCGGTGGGACTTGGCAAGCCTAACATAAGAAGATCCTTGCTGGATCAGACCAGTGGTCCATCTAGTCCAGCATCCTGTCTTACACAGCAGCTAACCAGTTCCTCTGGAGGGCCAACAACAGGGCAGAGAGGCCGAGGCCTTCATAAGAACATGAGAAGAACCCTGCTGGATCAGACCAGTGGTACTTCTATTCCAGCATCCTGTCTTATCTCACACAGTGTCCAACCTGTTCCTCTGGAGGGCCAGCAAAAGGGCACAGAGGCTGAGGCCTTCATAAGAACACCAAACGAGCCCTGCTGGATCAGACCAGTGGTCCATCTAGTCCCGCATCCTGTCTCACACAGTGGCCAACCAGTTCCTCTGGAGGGCCATCAACCGGGACAGGATGCTGGACTGGATGGATGACTGGTCCGATCCAGCAGGGCTCTTATGTTCTTAAAGGGAGCAATGGACAGTAATAATACAGGAAATAGAGGAAACAGACTAGGGGTTTTTTTTGGGGAGGGGGGCAATTGGCAACTCTAGCTAGGAGGCCAGAGGGTGTAGACTGGATGAACTCCCAGTGAGGGCTGTCAACCGCCAGGGGGTGGCTGGAGATCTCCTGGGAATCCCCAGGCCTGAAAGACTCTTGGGTAAGGGTAACCAATGTCGGAGCTGCTTATTTTTTGGTGGTTCGCACTGTAACCCTTGCAGTACGGGGGCACGTCTTACACTCTTAATGATGGTGTTCCGTGGTTCAGTCTGTAATATTTTCAAGGTCGGTTTTGATGCAGGATTGCGCAATGGTAGATTTTGTCTTTGTCTTTCCCCCTACCGTTCTCTCAAATGGCACTTAAGATAAATCTATGCACTTCACCCATATTTGCATAATTGACTCAGTTTTGCATAATTGCAGCTCCATCGAGGGCTCTGAATTCACAACGATTTGGAATTGGCGATTTCTTCTCTCTCTGTTTCTCTTTTTCTCTTTCTTTCACAAGGAAATGGTGTCAAGATAGAGATCGGGAGGGTGGGGTGGAAATAGGAAGATATCCGCTTTCCAAATTCTTCTCTGTAGCCACTAGGGTTGGCAGAGGGAACAGAGGAGAGGGGAGGAGGAGGAGGAGACGAAGATGAAGAGGAGGCGATTGGATTTATACCCCGCCCTTCACTCGGAGTCTCAGAGCGGCTTACAAACTCCTTTCCCTCGCCCTCCCCTCAACAGACACCCTGTGAGGTAGGTGGGGCTGAGAGAGCTCTTTCGAGGACAGCTCTTGAGAGAACAGCTCTGACAGAACTGTGGCTCGCCCAAGGTCATCCATCAGCTGCGAGTGGAGGAGTGCGGAATCAAACCCGCTTCTACCGGATTAGAGTCTGCGCACTTAACCACGACACCAAACTGGCTTGAAGTGGGACAACTCTCTAGGGTTGCCAACTCCAGGTTCAGAAATAACTGGAGATCTGGGGTGGAACTTGAGATGGTGGAGAAGGGGCAGGAACTCGGTAGGGTGTGATGCCATACAGTCCACCTTCCCAAGCAGTGATTTTCTCTAGGAGAAGTGGAATACATGTTTTAAATAAATAACAAACAGGTATGTTCTCTATGGAGCTGCGGTAGCTCAAGTGGTTAAGACGCTGAACTGCAGGCTGTGGAAGGTCGGTAGTTCAGCAGTTCGAGACCCGAGTGTGCCGCATGACGGAATGAGCTCCCGTCTCTAGTTCCAGCTCCTGCCAACCTAGCCGTTCGAAAGCAAGAAATTGCAAGTAGATAAATAGGGACCACTTCGGTGGGAAGGTAACAGCGTTCCGTGCGCCTTGGTGTTTAGTCATGATGGCCACATGACCACGGAAACATCTTCGGACAGCGCTGGCTCTTCAGCTTGGAAACGGAGATGAGCACCGCAACCCTAGAGTCGGATTCGACTGGCTTTCGGGCAAGGGAAGCCTTTGCCTTTACCTTATGTTCTCTATGGAGCCTGGAGATCAGTTGTAATCCTGGGGCCTCTCCAGCCCCCGCCAGGAGGTTGGCAACTCTACTCGGAGCCTGGAAAGTTTGCCTGTGAATAGAACTGGAGCCTCGATTCTTGCAAGCTGGCAAAACCTGCCCACGCCAAACAAATTAGTTTATGCGTTTTGCCTTGATCTTATCAGAGGAAGTACCTGTCTAGGACTGCCATCGTCCATCAAAATACCGTTCCCCATATTTGGGAGACCCGCGGGTGGCCTTGTGGTTAGGGGACAGAACACCGAGAAGCGAGATATATTAATAACATAACAGCTTTGCTCTTCCTGGGGCCGCCGGCCATAAAACTGCCATAACAAACCGCCAGCGAATCAATCTCATATTGCCTAACATCTGTAGAGGAGAGCAAGATGTATGGTAAGTGAATGAGGGATTCGCAGAGAGGAGGGTCGCCGACCTCCAGGTGGGGGAATTGGCGTTCACCCGGTATTTACAACTGATCTCCAGGCTTATCGGAATCAGTTCCACTGGAGAAAATGGCAGCTTTGGAAGGTGGGGGCCCTGTAGCATTGAGGGTTGCCATTGGAAGAAGAGAAGAGACTGGATTTATACCCCGCCCTTCACTCCCCAAAGGTGTTTCAGAGTGGCTTACAAACTCCTTTCGCTTCCCCTCCCCACAACAGACACCCTGTGAGGTAGGCGGGGCTGAGAGAGCTCTGACAGAAATGGCTCTTTTTCAAGGACAGCTCTTATCAGAACTACGGCTTGCCCAAGGTCATCCAGCCAGGTGCAAGCGGAGTGGGGAATCGAACCCGGTTCTCCCAGATTAGAGTCCGCGCACTTAACCACTACACCAAACTGGCTCAGGCGGCAGAAGCAGGTGGGCCTTTTCTGGCCTAAATTGCAAGGATTGCTCTCAGATTGTTTTAAGAGACAATGGACCCCTGAATATTACTTGCTGGGGGGGGCATGAACGGGGGAGACTTGGGGCGGCTTGCATGCATTTTGGAAGAGAAGAGAGGAAGAGACTGGATTTACCTCGCCCTTCGTTACCTGAGGGGCTGCGGTGGCTCAGTGGTTAAGACGCTGAACTGCAGACCAGAAGGTCGGTAGTTCAGCAGTTCGCAACCCGAGTGTCCAGTGACGGAGTGACGGAGTGCCCAGTGACGGAGTCTCTGCCCCCAGCTCCTGCCAACCTATCAGTTTGAACGCAAGAAATTGTGAAGTCTGTCACTACTTCCACGACTTCCCCTTCTATTTGCCAAGGAGTGATGGGGCCGGATGCCATGATCTTAGTTTTTTTGATGTTGAGCTTCAAGCCCACTTTTACGCTCTCCTCTTTTACCCTGAGCAAGAGGCTCTTTAGGTCCTCTTCACTTTCTGCCATTAGAGTGGTATTGTCTGCATATCTGAGGTCGTTGATCTTTTCCCCAGCAATCTTAATTCCCGCTTTTGATTCATCCAGGCCAGCATTTCGCATGATTTACTCTGCATATATATTAAATAAGCAAGGTGACAATATACATTCTTGGCGTACTCCTTTTCCTATGCTAAACCAATCAGTTGTTCCATATCCGGTTCTAACTGTCGCTTCTTGACCCTTATACAGGTTTCTCAAGAGACAAAAAAAAAATAGGTACCGCTTTGGCAGGAAGGTAACAGTGTTCCGTGCGTGTCGGCGTCTAGTCATGCTGGCCAGTTGGCCACGGAAATGTCTTCGGACAGCGCTGGTTTATTGGCTTGGAAACGGAGATGAGCACCGCACTCCTAGAGTTGAATTTGACTGGCTTTCGAGCAAGGGAAACGTTTACATTCGTTACCCGAAGGAGTCTCAGAGTGGTTTACAATCTCCTTTCCCCTCCCCACAGCAAACCCAGTTCTCCCAGATTAGAGTCCGCGCTCCGAACCACTACACCAAACCGGCTCTGGTCTACCACCAGGAGACAGAAAAAGCTGCTCTGGGCCATCTTGTCTTTTGCGGGGAGGTCTTGTGCATTCGGCTGGGATGCAAAAACAGGAGACCGTCCTACCTTGCAAGGCATTTTTCCTCGGCGGCACAACGGAGGGAGTAGAGGTGAGCTCTCTGGACGTAAGTGGAAGCCTGGACGTAGTTTGGATCGGGCACAAGATCCGGGAGGCCTGGAGAGGAGAGGCAGGACAGTGTGTTAAGGAGAGACAGTGGCTAAGGTTGCCAACCTCCAGGTGTAGCCTGGATTTCTTCTTGAATTACTGCTGATCTCCAGGCAATCGGTTCCCTTGGAGAAAATGCTAGCTTTGGAGGGTGGTTGCTATGGTATCACATGTGTGCCGGGCACCCTCCCTTCCACAAACTCCTCCCTCCCCACCCATAATTCTTCAGGGATTTCCCCACGCAGAGTTGGCAGCCATGACACAACCCCTCAAGCCCAAGCAAGACAGCATCTAAGGTGCCACCATCATTGAGGAAGAAGAGATTGGATTTATACCCTGCCCGTCTCAGAGCAGTTTATAATCCCTTTCCCTCCCCACAACAGACACCCTGTGAGGTAGGTGGGGCTGAGAGAACTCTCTGGAGAACTGCCCTTGAGAGAACAGCTCTGAAACAACTTCTGACTGACCCAAGGTCACACCATCAGCTGCACGTGGAGTAGTGGGGAATCAAATCCTGTTCTCCCAGATTAGAGCCTGTGCTCCTAACCACTACACCAAATGCAGCGACAGAGGGTGCAAAGGAAACAGTTTAAATCTGGACATAGAATCCTGAAGACCATTGGCAGCAGCTGATTGGTCCATCTGTGGTGGGTGGGGTTGTTGCCCCCAAAACCTGAACTATTTTAGCAGGGGTGTAACGAATCCTTGTTTCTGTGTGTGTGTGTCTCTTTAAAAGCTTGGTTGCATGGCTGCGATAGATAGACTAGAGTGGTTGAGAGAGGCAAGTATGGTATGATTGGTGGTTGACAGAGAGGGGGAGGGGTTTTGGAAGTGAATCTGAATGGATGAGTATGTATGTCAGTCAGGTTTTACAGTTACAGGTTTGACAGTTGAGAAGTTCAGTTAGTTCTGTGTGTGAGGAAAGTGAGAAGCAGTCCTGTGTGGAATAAGTTAGTTCAGTGAGAAACAGAAGGAAAGCTGAGAGAATAGGAAAAATTAAAGGAAAGTTTAATTGAAGACAAGTTATAGGAAAGGCTGTATGTCCTGGAGAGAAACAGTGAACATATATTACCATGAGTTAAAGTGTTACAAAGTTACCTGAAGGTTCCCTGTCAGCAAGGGAGCAGATTGTGTGTGATACACCAAGCAATTCACCCTGTGAGGTAGGTGGGGCTGAGAGAGCTCTTGCAAGAACTGCCCTTGAGAGAACAGCTCTGAAATAACTTCTGACTGACCCAAGGTCACACCAGCAGCTGCACGTGGAGGAGTGGGGAATCAAATCCAGTTCTCCCAGATTAGAGCCTGTGCTCCTAACCACTACACCAAATGCAGCAACAGAGGGTGCAAAGGAAACCGTTTAAATCTGGACATAGAATCCTGAAGACCATCGGCGGCAGCTGATTGGTCCAGCTGTGGTGGGTGGGGTTGTTACCCCCCAAATCTGAACTATTTTGAGCAGGGGTCCCTGACATTTTGAGCCTATGGGCACCCTTTGGAATTCTGATACAGTGTGGTGGGCGCAGGCACAAAATGGCTGTGCCGGGAGGCAGGGCCAGCCACAAAATGGCTTCTCCAGGGGGCGGAGCCCACCAAAAAATGCCTGCAGCTGCTTATCTTCAGTAACACAGTGAAACTCCTTGTGCTGTGGAGGCAGCTGCCGCCGAAGCAATGCTTTTAAAAAAAATCTGCGCAGCCAATTAAATCTCCAGTAGTCAATCAGAAGCCTTATTGGACAAAATCCCTTCCTGGCCCTGCCCACTTTCTGAAAAGACTTGGCGGGCAACAGGAAAGGTATTGGCGGGTACCAGGGGTCATTTCCTGCGGGAGCGCACAGGAGCGGAGCTCCAGCAGTAAGGAGTCCAGGGGGTGGGCACATGCAACAAGCCCCGCCCCCTGCTCCCAGCAGCCCTCAGTCAGGCCACGAGGAGCAACAAACAACCAGGTACGTTGCAGAGCCCCCCCCCTGCCTTCAGGTACAAGCTCTCCCTCCTCTGCGAGGACAGATCTGCACGTTCCCCCCCACCCCAATAGCTAGCAATCCAAAACAGTCCAGTGAAGCCTGAGCGGTGGGTGTTGCCTTCTGACACGCTTCCGGTGATGTCAGGGGGTGTGGCATATGCAAACAAGTTATGCTAATGAGCTCCTGCACCTCTTTTTCTACGAAATGATCCCTGGCGGGCACTATCCTAAGAATCCTTGCTTTTGAGATTTTTTTTTCTTAGGGTGAGTGTGTGTTTAAAACCAAGGCGTCTAACTTCTCGTTCTGGGGGAATCAGGCCGCTGGGTCACATAAGGCATTTTTATGCTTCCAACGGCCCTTTTGGGATTTCTCTGCTGTTTACAACTGTTAATGTTGTGTGACTGATGTATGGCATTCGTTTTAGGGGAAGACGGACAACCCTGCCTGTTTGTTGCCTGTTATTTCTCCCTCCCTCCCTCTCTCCCTCCCTCCCTCTCTCTCTCTCTCTCTCTCATTGTGTTGGCAATCAGCCTTGTATCTTTCCCATGCCTGCCTTGTGGTTCCTCTGGAGCTGATTAAATCGGTCCTTTTATTAGCTGAGCTGCCTGTTCCATGGGCACATGGCTCTTTTCTTCCTCCTCCGGCAGCACTGACAGGCCATTCCTATGCCGCCGTTTGCAGGCAGTTTTGTCTAGTGGTTAGAGTGGGGTGTGTGTGTCTCCATCTGTTTGGAGCCTGTGGAGACATTTGGAATTCGGACATGGCGTGGCGGGCACAGCCACGAAAGGGCTGCCCACAGCATGGCTGCTGCGGGAGGCCGAGCCAGCTGCCAAATGATTGCCGCAGCTTAAACTCCAGTCACACAGTGTATATAGATCCTTGTGCTGCGGTGGCAGCTGCTGCCAAAGCATCGTTTTGAAAAATCTGCACAGCCAATCGGGGAGGAAGAAGAAAAGAAAAATGGCTGTCAAGCCAACACCAGCTGCTGTTGTTCATCCAAAGGACGCAGGAGGAGCGAAGAATGAGATACCTGCTTTATTTTTGATCACATGCCTCAAAGCTTTTCCCTGGAACCAGGCCCATAGCTACGTTGGGGCAGGTGCCATGGCGCCCGCGGGCATCATGTTGGGGACCCCGGGTTAGAGTGTCAGCCTAGGGGGCGGGAGACCCACGTTCAAATCCTCACTCAGTTGCGAAACTACCCGAACCTGTCACTCTCTCTATCCACTGATAGCCAGGAGCAAGGGGTTTGAATGGTGTGTGGGAAATGTGTTCTGATTCCCCCAATACAGAAGCAGCTGGGGAATGCTTAGAAAGGAACTGCCGGTTGGAAAGACTTTCTGGAAGTTCCAGGCAGGCTGGTAGCCAGGATTTTGTGGCTTGTGGGGCAAATTACTTTTCTGCAGTGCTCAGTGGAGAAAGGAAAGCTATTGAGCCAATAGAAAGCTGTTACCTGGATAGATCTCTAAATTGCAAGCCGTCAACCACTTTAGATGACAGTTCTCAGCTGCTGCAAGTTAATCACTTCCGCCAGCCTGAGCTACAATTCTGCTAACAAGCCTGCAGATGGGGATGATGACTTCTATAGTCAAGGAAGCTAACACTTAGGCAGAAAAACTCTCTTCAAGGAGACCAGTTTCTTGACACAGAGTTAGAAGGGATCCTAGAGGTCACCTACTCCAACCCCCTTGCTCAGTGCGGGAGTTAGTCAACTGCAGCACCCCACTCTGCTTAAAGGAGTGCATGCCTTTTAAAAATGTTATAAAATTATTGAAAAAAGCATTTACAGGGGAAATTCTTGCAGGGCTGTGCCTTTAAGAAAGGGGGCAGAGCCCCCTCAAAAGCCCCAACGTAGCTATGGGCCTGGTTCCAGGGAAAAGCTTTGAGGCATGTGATCAAAAATAAAGCAGGTATCTCATTCTTCGCTCCTCCTGCGTCCTTTGGATGAACAACAGCAGCTGGTGTTGGCTTGACAGCCATTTTTCTTTTCTTCTTCCTCCGCCACTGCTCAGAGCAGCCCCACTGAGAGAGTGGCGACCCTAGATGCCCCAGAGCCCACCCTCCAAAGCTGTTATTTTCTCCAGGGGAACTGATCTCTGTAGTCCGGGGAAATCACTTTTCATTCCGGGAGGACTCCAGGTCTCATCTGG